ACTTCAATTACTTTTACTCCTCTCTCTCCCTCTTTTCAATTTTAAAGGAAAGCACTATTATAACAAGTATCATCTTGTGGATTGAAACCACAGCCTTCCACCCAAAGCTCTCCCCAACCTCCCTTCCCATGCCAAGTTTTCAAAGATTTATTTGGTTTTTTTTTATGTTTTCAGAAGAACAAATAAAGGATATTATTATTACTTTTTTCTTTGTACTTGGTGGAACTGTAAAATTCTGAAGTTTCTAACCAAATCACACCAAGAATTGTTTCTAATATGTTTGGAGACAGTTGAAGAAAGGCAAAGCAGATATTTGTTTGACAACAACAAACGTGGAAACTTCTTGGAAGAGACGGAGCTTGACGATAGCATATCAGACTCAGATGTTCCATTGTTTGATTTACATACCATTGCTGTAGCCACATCCAATTTCTCCGTTGATAACAAACTTGGACAAGGTGGCTTTGGCTCGGTGTACAAGGTAAATCTTTCTAAGATAAAGCGTTTCAAATTTTGTAAATACTTCTAATTTTATTTTGTTATTGCCAATTATATGAAGAACACAAAATAACTGCAATTTCAATCTTACAAATATGGCGCAACGCATATAAGTAAAATTTGGATTATGGTTTCAGGGTATGCTATCAAATGGGAAGGAAATTGCAGTGAAGCGACTATCTACGTGCTCTGGGCAAGGAAGTGCAGAGTTTAGGAATGAAGTTCAGCTTGTTGCAAAACTACAACACAAAAACCTTGTGAAGATTTTAGGTTGTTGCTTCCATGAAGAAGAGAGAATGTTAGTTTACGAGTATTTACCAAATAAAAGCTTGGACCGTTTCATTTTTGGTATGCTTTCTATCAATTTTTTTTTTTTTTTTTTTTTATTGCTCTTAGAAGTGGAATGATTGTTTTCTTAAAATAAATTTTGAAGCAAATTAGAAGAATTCTGTAACGCTTTTTTGTCTAACTGAATATAGATCATAAGCCTATGAGTAACTAGCTAGCTCAGGAAGCTTACCGAACGTAACCGATTTAAGCATATTTAATTACTTAAATTTGTCATCAGATGAAGAGAAAAGGAAGTCGTTAGATTGGAGAAGACGCTTTGACATAATTTGTGGCATTGCTCTAGGGATGTTATATCTGCATCAAGACTCAATACTAAGAATCATTCATAGAGATCTAAAGGCAAGCAATGTTCTTCTAGATGCTGCCATGAACCCAAGAATTTCAGATTTCGGTTTGGCAAGAATATTTGGAGGAGATCAAAGTGAAGCATGCACAAACCGCGTGGTTGGTACATAGTAAGTGCCCCTTAACTAAAAAGAAATATGTTTTCATTAGCTAACAACATGGGTTAAAATCAATGATTCATTCTATGCTATTACAGCGGTTATATGGCTCCAGAGTATGCAATGGAAGGATTATTTTCAATAAAGTCAGATGTATATAGCTTTGGAGTTGTACTGCTAGAGATCATTTCTGGCAGAAAGATCACTGGTTATTATAAAGAGAATCCTGAGTCAAATTTGGTTGGACATGTGAGCATAAAAATTTAGTTTTACTTGAGAAAATATAAACATATGACATGCACAAAAAGATTTACATGATTATTTTTCTCCGACATGATGACATGCGTTTTGTTTCAGGTTTGGGACCTGTGGAGAGAAGGCAGAGCCTCCGAAGTAGTGGATTCATTTTTGGACGAGGCATTTGTTGATGAAGCTCTGAGATGTATCCAAATTGGTCTGCTGAGCGTGCAAGAACACGCGTATGATCGACCAACCATGTCAGCAGTTGTTCTAATGTTGGGAAATGATTCAGATCTTCCGTCCCCAAAACAACCTGCATTTATCGCTAATAGACGTTGGGCTGGTACTGGAGACTTGTCATCTAGTGAAGGTGTTAATTACTCTATAAACGTTGTGACATGTACTATGGTGGAAGCTCGCTAAATTTGTAGAATTAGACTGTGTAACAAAATATGACTTTTTAGTTTTCTTTGTATTATCTACAGTTTTTATGTATGTAGTCCATGTCTGTAATGCGTGCTTAGAATATTGCATGTGGAAGCCTAGAAGAATTGTTTCTTCTCTTTTGCTTTAGACGTCCTGGAAATCTAGAATTAACTTACTACTTTTATTTATTTATTATTTTTTTGTTCCTCCTTAAACTACGAAGAAGACTTAATCTAGAACTCTTTTCTTTCTTGGCTAGTAAAATAGATCATGGTTCTTGGAATATTGGGAATGATTGGAAGAATACTCTTCATAATCTTTCTAAAGAAAGTCATGTTTCCTTCTCAATAGTCAATACCATGTAAGAGAATTTTGTTACAGATCATAAGCTTGCGAATCATGGTTATGCTCTCAATAAGGTCGCGCGCTCTTGAGAACTTAAACATGGTTTTTTTTTTTTTTTTTTTTTTTTTGATTAACGACTTGAGTCGTAGTGTTAGTGTTCTAACTAATGTTGCAACTCTTGTTTCTTTAATTACCGCCCGTACTATCCTATCTTCAATCTCATAATTAATCTCCTAATATGTAGGTTGGAGATTATTTAAGTTTGGAAGGTGCTATATTTTCCTAGTAAAAAAATAAAAATAAAAATAATAAAAATCTTGGGCAAACAAAGGACATATACAATGATATCTTTGAAGAAATTAAAATGAAAAATCAAATATGTACCATGACCATTACTTGATCTTCCCATCAATATAAAGGAAAACTTAAGGCTCAATCACCTAAGATTATCAGGTTGGATTAATTGGAATGGGAAATCTTGATATCAAGGTATATGAAGTCAGTGCTTGTTTTTAACATAATAAAAATACATGATGATATAATATATTTATATACATATCACCTTAACATACGCCTGAATAAAGCTAAGCAGGTTTATTTTTGTCGAGCTGTTTATTTATTTTTTTACTATTTGCCATCTATCCCCTTTTTTAGGCTTTTTTTTGGGGTTCTTAGACTAGCTAGTACCTTTTTTTTTGCTAATAAAAAATTGACTAGCTAGTACTTATTCCTCAGTTTATAACACAAAAGAGAACAAATTATTATCCTTAAAAAAAGGCAAAAGATGAAAAAGAAAAAAGAATCATGAAGCAGAAAAAGAAGACCAATATGTTATATTTTTCCAAAACGTATACATATATACGCATTCTGTCATCATGAGCATGCCCTTCCATATCACTATCCAGAACAAAATCTACGAAAACGACGACCGTAAATGGTGGTTACAACTCACAATAACAGCGAATCGCAAAGATATAGGAGGACACATTAATGAATTATGATGAACAATAAGGAACCAAAATAAACGCACTCCCATCCGGCGGTCACTCTCGTCCCCTGTACCCTTTTCTTTATTTCTATAAAATCTAAGCCATCCCTTTCTTTCCCAGTTGTCACTCCGATGATGATACTGGCTTTCCTTTCCCTTTTCTTAGGGGGAACCAAAATAAACGCACTTTCACCAGTCTATTAAATTTGCCTAATTATTTATTCACTAAAGTTTTAACTCCCAGGTCCATATTGTACATCAACATATAATTATTCACTAAAAGTTTAGTAAAAGTTTAGTAGATAATTTTTAATTAAATTTAACCCAAATTAAATGACAACCCGCAACATATAATTATTTACATATAAATCCAAATTAGAGGATCCAACAACTCATTCTCCTGTAAATTTAATACTAGTCAAGAAGCCAACTAACTCTCTAAATGATGTGACATGTACTTATGGTAGAAGACTAGACGCACATTAAGAACTAAAGACAAATGCAGCCCATCTCAATCTTAGAGGGACCAAACATTTGAAAGTCGTACAAGTTATAACATACTTAATTACGTACATATATAATTAGTACATATCTAATTAGAGATGGTAGCGGATGCAGGGAGAAATTTAAATGCTATGATATTTCTATGTTTTTAAAGATCACTGATTCGAATTTAAAAAAAAAAAAAAATCAAACCAACTAGTGTGAGTGTCCAAATAAGGGATAATTTTGGACAGCAATAAATATTCTCATACGCAGTGGCAAAAATATTCTACTAATTATAAAAAAAATTTATTACCAAATTTTTAAGAAAATATCAGATTTACATATTACGATTATTTGCTTTTTGTTCGTGTGATGAATACTCCTAGCAAGTGTTTTTTAGTTTTTACTATGTAGAAGCTCTATAAGTGAGATTAAACGACTGAAAAGTAATATGCTTGGCCAGCTAATGAAGCAAGTGGTTTAGCATATGTACCGACAGATATAATAAAGTTGATATTGATGTATCAGCAAACACAGACTAGCCGAAGATGTGTGCAATAAAGACAGCATACATTGACATTTCAAGAAAATCAAATATAATTGAAAAAGATATTTGCAAACATTAGCCTTAGGTAATTTTAAACGGATTGAACTCACAAGTATTTATCTATTTTCGTGTCCTTTAAATGGAATTAGGCCATATATGTTAAAATTAACTGTCACGATTTTTTAGTTAACGTAATCTGATATTTTAATTTAATGTGATATGATATTATTACAAAGACATAAAGCGGAATATACCAGTTCATTCTATTATAACTGTATAATGAAATTCCCCTCTTCTCAAATTAATATATATATATATATATATATCTATATATATATGGTTAAAAAATAATAGGTCAGCAAATAGGTTTAAAAAATCTCAAAACTTCTACGTAGCTTATAAATCAGCCACACAATAACGGTCACAATTCAATCTAACTTGGCGTATTTGTATAACTGTCACAATTAGATACAACTTCGCGTAGTATGAACGGCTGAATTTATTTGAAAGTTGAAATACTTGTTAATTCTAATTAATGAAAAAAAATACTCAAGTGGTTTCTGCAAAAACAAAATAAAATACATTTCAAAAAAAATAAAAATAAAATAAAATTACAAAGAGACGTAATATATCATAGATATGTCAAGTAGCGATATATTTATGGAAGAAGCTCTAATTTCCCTAATTCATAGGAAACAAACCTCCCTCCTCCGGTGCTAAAATAAATAACAATAAGATCTACCCATGGCCAGCAAACCATGAAATCTCTTGAGGCGTTTCTAGACACAATACTAATATTGCTCATCTTCGTTTATCAGCCCTTCTGCTTGTCCCTCGTACTTGACTCCATTACACCGAACAACACCGTCAAAGACGGCGACGTTTTGCTCTCCGGCCAAAAGACCTTCGCGCTCGGCTTTTTCAGCCCCGGTAAGTCCCGCTACCGGTACGTCGGAATCTGGTACTACAAAGACCCCGAGAAAACCGCTGTGTGGGTCGCAAACAGAGACGATCCTATCAACGAAACTTCGGGAGTCTTGGCCATCGACAGCAAAGGACGCCTCATCATTTATGCGAAAGACCAAAACTCTCCTATTTGGTCAGCAAATGTCTCTGTCCCTTCGGAAAAAAGTAGTTCTAGTTTCATAGCCAAGCTTTTAGATGTTGGAAATCTTGTTTTGATAAAACAAGATAACAGTACTGTTATTTGGCAAAGCTTTGATTATCCCACGAACACCTACCTCCCTTTTATGAAGCTCGGGTTGAACCGGAAATCTGGACTGAACCGGTTCATATCATCATGGAAGTCTGCGGATGATCCAGGAACCGGGAACTGCACATACCGGATAGACTCAACAGGATACCCACAGATGTTTGCATACAAAAATAGGGTTCCTTTTTGGCGGGCCGGATCTTGGACGGGTCAAAGATGGAGCGGTGTATCCACAATGACAAATGGGTTCCTCGACAACACGAGCTATGTCAACAACCAAGACGAGATAAGCGTCATGTATGGAATCAGTACTGACTCAAACTCAGTTTTCTCGAGGTTCGTGATAGAAGAATCAGAAACCGTGCGACAGTTCACGTGGCAAGATCAAGGTCATGAATGGGTCGAATCCTGGTATGCTCCGAATGATTGGTGCGACAGTTATAAGAGGTGTGGCGGCAATGGAAACTGTGACCCGTCTGATGTAAGCCGATTCGAGTGCGTGTGTCTACCAGGGTTTGAGCCCCGCTCGCAAAAAAGTTGGGAATTGAGAGACGCATCAGGTGGGTGCATGAGAAAGGGCGGGGCACGCACGTGTGAGGGCAGGGAAGGATTTTTAAAGATGACACGTGTGAAATTACCTGATACGTCCAACGCACTTGTGGAAATGGGATTAAGTTTGAGAGAGTGCAAGAAGAAGTGTTTGAAGGATTGCAATTGCACGGCTTACACGAGTGTTGATGAGACTAAGGACGGTGTTGGGTGCTTGTCATGGCACGGGGACTTGGTCGACGTCAAGACTTATAGCAACACTGGGTTTGATCTATACATACGGGTTGATGCAACTACATTAGGTACAATCATGACTATCAATTTTCTTAATCAAAATTTTGTTCCTATTATTTGACTGTATATAATAGATATGGACATTAAGAAAAAAACTATAAATAGGCTTTCTTAAATACATAGGTTTCCTTTTGTTGAGGGAACTATAAATTTTGTTCATGCCTCAAGGTCTTTTTGACCTCCTTAACATGCTATCACATAATATGTGTGTTGGATCTATTTTGACTGAGCTTTGAAGAAATTATTTTTGGCTTCTTGAAATTAAAAGTTACTTCTTTTAAGTGTTTAAATACTATGAGAAATGTTTTGGCTCTCCGAAGAGTGTACACGTAAGTCACAAAATGTTGCTTTTTAAAACTGCTTTTTTAATAGACTGTGATACTTATATCATAGTGTCAATAAGATATCATAGAAAATTTATAACCATTATGACTTAATGAGAGGGTTCCAGCTATTTTACAGACATGTTTACTTTATCATGAATAGGGGAAAAAATGAAGTAGTGTGTTTCTTTCCTTTTAAAACTCGTTCCTTTCCCATGGAATTTAGTGGAAAACAGAGAATTTTGAAAAGGAAGAAAACAAAATGTTTGATTATTTGCTTATGAGAAAACTTTTAACCAAGTTTTCTTTCTAGTCGATACTCATATATTTTTATTAGTTTACCAATCTATCTTAAAAGTTTAAATTGTTAGGATTTAAGCCAACAATAATTTAATATCTCAGCAGTTACTGTTATGATCGACCACTTAAATATTAAAGTCAAAACTAATCCGATGTTGCGCTGATGTTTGTGGTCGGTTTGTCTTGCTGCCGCTCAGTTCTCAATTTCTTACTAGTCCATACTACTACACTCTCCTGATATAAAGCTCTGAATTTTTCTCCATTTTGTCATCTAATTCAACAAATAATAGTTGAGTTTTACGGTATCAACGACAACTCTAACCTTTAGCTTTCATCTACATAGCTCAATACACGAAGAAATCGAATGGCTCTGTCAGCACAATGGGGAAGCTAGCAATTTCGCTCTGTTCTATTGTACTCTTTTTTCTCTTGGTTTTCATAGCATGTTGGTTGGTAAAGAGGAAGAGAAAATCAGGTAAAAGGATTTCCAACATTTTGCTTTCTGTTCATTCTGCAATAATCATGTTCACCTAATAACTTGTGTATATTAAATAAGTTACTTAAATTAGTTTTCCTCTTCTTAGCCTAATGTCAAAACCATAATCATTGGCATGATTCAAAAATAGGCACATGGTAAGCATACCATCAAACTAAGACAGGTAATTCAGAAAAGTTTTCGTTAAAAGTGTTAAACATATGAAACTTTTCTTACGTGTTTGATGACAGTTAAAGAAAGTCAAAGCAAAACTTTGCTCGGAAACATTCCACCAGAGACCTTCTTGAAAGAATCGGATCTTGGAGATGATAGAGCAGATTCCGATGTTCCGTTATTTGATCTACATACCATTGCCGCAGCCACAGCCAATTTCTCTGTTGATAACAAACTTGGACAAGGTGGCTTTGGCTCTGTATACAAGGTAATCTCCCTTAACATAATTAAAGCATTTCAACTTTACGTTTTAAATTCACTCGTTCAAATATGATGCGAAAATATAAGCCAACTTGGATTATGATTTCAGGGCATTCTATCTAATGGAAAGGAAATAGCAGTGAAACGACTGTCGAAATGCTCCGGTCAAGGAAGTCAAGAGTTCAAGAATGAAGTTATGCTAATTGCAAAGCTTCAGCACAGGAACCTGGTGAGGATTTTAGGATGCTGCATTGAAGAAAAAGAGAAGATGATAGTCTACGAATACTTGCCAAACAAAAGCTTGGACTGTTTCATTTTTGGTAGGCTTTCTGCAGATTTTACTTTTTGAATCACAACATATAACAAACTAAAAAAAAAAAGGAGTTGCTAATTTTAAATTTTCATCAGATGGAGAGAAAAGGAAATCGTTAGACTGGCAAAAGCTCTTTAACATAATATGCGGGGTTGCTCGAGGGATGTTATATCTTCATCATGATTCAAGATTAAGAATAATTCATAGAGATTTAAAAGCCAGCAATGTTTTGCTGGACACTGCTATGAACCCAAAGATTGCAGATTTTGGTATGGCTAGAATATTTGGAGGAGAACAAATCGAAGCAGATACAAATCGGGTTGTTGGGACCTAGTAAGTTTCCCTGAATTGAAGTGTGTGTTGGGGGTTTTTTTTTTTTTTTTTTTTTTTTTTTTTTTTTCCTTTAAGTGAATTGAAGAGTGTTTAAGATTTTTCCAAATATCACTGTTTGTAGAGCGAAAATGAAAAATGTATAGCTACTAAAAAAACATTATATTTTATGTCATAGCGGATATATGTCACCAGAATATGCTATGGAAGGGCGGTTTTCAATAAAATCAGACGTATATAGTTTCGGGGTTTTGCTACTCGAGATCATTGCAGGCAAGAAGAACACTATCTACTACGAGAATTTCGACTCAAATTTAGTTGGACATGTAAGTTTATACAACTTCTTTAATTAGTTACATTCTTCTTGTTATTGATCGTGACTTGAAATGCGGCAAAACATTAATGTTTTAGGTATGGGATTTATGGATAGAAGGTAAAGCGCTAGAAATAATGGATTCATCTTTGGATAAATCATACGCTAGTGAGGCTTTGAGATGCATCATTATTGGGCTTCTGTGCGTGCAAGAGCTCGCCACTGATCGACCAACCATGTCGGCCGTTGTTTCCATGTTGGGTAATGATTCAGCTCTTCCGCGACCAAAACAGCCTGCATTTGTATGTAAAAGAAGCTATACAAGCGGAGATCCATCAACTAGTGGAGGAGCCAAGTCTGTAACATGTACTGAGGTAGAAGCTCGTTGAAGGAGCTTTTATGAAGTTCACACCGTCAAGTAAACTGTAAATTAATTAGTTACCAGTATGTTCTTATATTAATTAGCTTTAGACAACCGAATCCGTACATCATATATAGAAGGCTCAAGTCTCCGTTGATCAAATATTCATGATTTTTGCTTGCAGACTTAGCTTAATTTAAAAATAAAAATAAAAGTCATTAAAATTACAGGTTTAGTCTAGTGAGTTCCACATCATTACTTATGTCAAATTCAAAAAAGGACAAAAAAAAAATTCAGAATCTTAAAACGTGAATCTCTCCATTTTTCTTAACGTTTTAATTACTACCAAAACTCTGTAATAGATTGGATGGCATCGAAACCCAGCTGATAATTTTCTACTCGCTTTTCATGTCATTAGTAATTAACTATGTCACTATAAGTGCCACAAAAGAGGTAGTACAAACACCAATCCACACATAACTCCTACTACAAGAAACACGACACTCTAGACAATCCGTTTCATGAGCAAACTCGGATGAAGATCCAGAGAAAACAACATGTACTAGAAGGGAAAACACTAAAAAAAACTACACAGAAGATTAAGCATACACATGATTGTTCACAATTTATAGAAAATTCAATCAACCAATCGAAACTCATAGCCTGAAGGCTACACAAAAAGCTGCAAAGAAACAGATCTCGTAGACGAAAAAGACCACCAATCATTTACATAAAATTACAAATCGGGGTAAAAAATTAGGATCTAGTACAAATATAATTTGTTAAAAAATTCTCAATCCAAGAAACTAGAAGGGAAAAGAAAAAAGCTTTGCCAGTTTATGATATTGTACAATTCCTCGATAATTTCACACCTAAAATGCTGGGGTGAGTACTTAAACTTGGTCTAATCGATGGGATCATGGACAATTTATCTTTTTAAGCTATATAGAATTACGAGTTTTTGTATCCCCAACCTTATCATCTAATTGTTCGCCCTGTTTGATTATAACTTATTTTCAGATTAAAAATATTGTGTAGATTGTATATAGCATGTACATAATTTATAAAATAGGTGAAAATTTGAAAATTGTCATTACATTTATTTTTAACTCAATAGTACATAATTTATATAATATATGAAAATTTGAAAACTGTCATTACATTTATTTTTAACTCAAAGTCTTCCACGTGTAACGATTTATAAATGAGTACTTGGCAATTCGACTAATTAATTGTCTTAGTATCTTTCACTAAATATGCATCTTTGCTTTGATTATTGAGAAAGAGTCAGAGCCTGATGGAGATACCTAGCAATATTTAAATGAAAACCGTGTTGATCAGAAGCCATGCGTTGATAAGTGAAATGAAATTCATGAGTCATACAATTACTAGAAAGATACGGGGTCAAATTAGCAAACTGAAGAGTCAAATATTATATCTCTGAGGGATCAAATTAGTCAACCAAGTGGTTTCAAGCCAAAAACACAAGTGGTCGGCATGTTACATATTCCAATTTAAATTCCAAGTTTAAGTGGCGAGCACTAATTCACTATCAAAAAAATTGGAGATAGTTTTTATTGAACTTTAACATTGTTATATATTTCGACTATTGGGAGCATAATTACAATTTTTCTTATAAAATAGGAGCACAATAATATGTCTAATTATTTCATAGGAAACAATTATAATTTTTTTTTTTTTTTTTTTTTTTTTTGTAAACTTGGGTCAGAACTATAATTTAAAAACTTTTAGTGCGAAAAATCAAAATTATATACCCAACTCAACTTAATATCACTCCGGCGCCACTAGTGCTCCTCACTAGTAAATGGTCTCTTTCTCATAGTTTATGAATATATAAGTTCGTTTGGATATATAAGTTCTTAACGAAAACTTTCAAATGCGTATACTACGACCTATAGAAGCTATAAGTGAGATTAACAAGTATTAGACAACCAAGAGGTTCACGCCAAAAACACAAGTGGTTGGCATATTATATATACAATAAAAGACGATAATGATGTATAACCAAACAAAGACGACACTGATATCTGGAGACATGGTCAATTTCCTTGTAATGTGAACAAAATTGTATATTCGTATCAGGGGAAAAAGCTAAAATGATTAGACAATATCTCTATCCATATATCCAACAACTCTTGCTTAGTGGATTTTTAGTTTTTTGTTTTTCCCGAGTAGTATATAGGCGTTAAACTAGAGAATGAGAGAGGAAGAAATTTTCGTTGTACAAAGAAGTGCATATTTGACTTTAGGTTGGCAAAGAGAGTAATGATAGAAAGCTTCCCTTTGGCGTTTGATTTGGTTTTGATCCAGTGATTGTAGCTGACTTTTATGGTATTAAATCTGTTTTGTTTCATTTAGAATTTAAATTGACTCTATGGATAGTTACCCAAATTAGTACTTGTAATTTGTAGTTATATTGCGTTTCTCAACTATACCTTAAAAGGCTATTTTCAAACATGGCATAGTTGTTAATGATCAATTGTCAAATTGTGTAGGATTTTTTATTATTATTTTTATCTTTCGCGAAACAAATTATACACCGTAGGAATATTTGTTAGAGGAGATTAACGTGGCAGTATGCTTCCTGAAAAGATGCTAATTAACTATTCTTTTACTTATCAAATTTAAACATTCAAATGGGTACAAATGATAGCACGTGGTTTCTACTATAGAAGCTATAAGTGAGATTAAACAAGCTGTAGAAGTAAAAGATTTAACAAGACTTAGTCAGCCAAGTGGTTCGAGTAAAAAACACAAGTGGTTGGCATTTGTACGTATACAATAAAGACGATAATGATGTATAACCAAAAACAGACTTCAGAAGCATGGGAAGTAAAGACGACGTTGATATCCGGAGACCTGGTCAAATTTCCTTGCAAAAATTGGATAATCAGAAAATGGGGCTGAAAATGCAAAAATTGGATAATGATCGAGTCTGATGACCGAACGACTATATATAACTAAATCTCCCTACATCTCAGTTGCACTTCAACTGACTGAGAAAACCATGAAGTCTTGTGAAGCGCTTCTAAACACAATACAAATATTGCTCATCTTCCTTGCTCCACCCTTATGTATGTCCCTTGTCTTTGACACCATTACACCAAACCACACCATCAAAGACGGCGACGTTTTGCTCTCCGGCCAAAAGACCTTCGCACTCGGCTTCTTCAGCCCCGGCAAGTCCCGCAACCGCTATGTCGGAGTCTGGTACAACAAAATCTCAGAGAAAACCGTGGTTTGGGTCGCAAATAGAGACAATCCCATCAACGACACTTCAGGAGTCTTGGCCATCAACAGCAAAGGACGCCTCAGCATTTATGCAAAATACCAAAACTCTCCTATTTGGTCAGCAAATCTATCTGTCTTTACGGCAAAAACTAGTTCCACTTTCCTAGCTAAGCTTTTAGATGTTGGAAATCTTGTTTTGATGAAAAAAGATGACAGTTTTGGACAGAGCAGTGTTATTTGGCAAAGCTTTGATTATCCAACGAACACTTACCTACCTTTCTTGAAGCTTGGGCTGAACCGGAAAACCGGCCTCGACCGGTTCATAACATCCTGGAAATCGGCGGATGATCCGGGAACCGGTAATTCTACGTACCGGATGGACCTAACCGGATACCCACAGTTGGTTGCATACAAGGGTGGGGTTCCGTTTTGGCGGGCCGGATGTTGGACAGGTCGCAGATGGACTGGCGTACCCACGATGATAGGAATGATACACGGGTACATCTTTAATGTGAGCTATACGAACAACAAAGATGAGACAAGCATCGTGTATGGAATCAACAACGACACGAATTCAGTTTTCTCTAGGCTCGTGATAGAGGAATCGGGGACAGCAAGGCGGTCCACATGGCAAGATCAGCGTAAAGAGTGGGTCGAATTTTGGTACGCTCCCGATGATCGGTGCGACAATTATGGGATATGTGGCAGAAACGGAATGTGTGACCAATCGGACGTAAGCCAGCTCGAGTGTGTGTGCTTGCCTGGGTTCGAACCCCATTCGCGTGATCGTTGGGACTTGAGAGACCCGTCAGGCGGGTGCGTGAGAAAGGGCGGGGCACACACATGTGGAGATGTTGAGGGGTTTGTGAAGGTGACACGTGTGAAATTACCCGATACATCCAACGCACGTGGGGAAATGGGATTGAGTTTGAGAGAGTGTGAGGAGAAGTGCTTGAAGGATTGCAATTGCACGGCTTACACGAGTGTGGATGAGACTAGGGACGGTGCTGGTTGCTTATCCTGGCACGGAGATTTGGTGGACATAAGAACTTTTACGAATACGGGACAGGATCTATACGTACGAGTAGATGCAGTTACTTTAGGTACGTTTACCATTTAATTTTTATTAAACTTGTTCGTCATTTATACAAGTTATGAGTGAATGTAAGAAGTAAAATAAATAAATAAACAAATAAAATAGTACTTTAACTTGAAAAGTGCGCAAAGAATAATTGATACAGATTTAATGGCTTAAAACATAATTGTATTGATAGAATATTATTTCATCCCTTATCGTAAAAATATCATAATGTAAAGTCTGTTCAAAATCGCATTTTTTACGTGTAAGAATAATGTCGATGCATTTTACCTAACTCGATAAATAAGTGTTGAGTTTTATAATATCAATGAGATGATCAATTTTAACATTTTATCTAAGTAGCTCAATACACGAAGAAGTCGAATGGCTCTATCAGCAAAACGGGGAAGCTTGCAATTTTGCTATGTTCTGTTGTACTCTTTTTTCTCTTGGTCTTCATTGCATATTGGTTGGCAAATAGAAAGAGAATATCAGGTAAAAGGATTTCCTCTATTGTGCTTTCTGTTCATTCTACAATCATCATGCACATCTAATTACTAGTGCATCTAAATAAGTTATTTCAATTATTTTCCTCCCCCTTCCTCTCTCTCTCTCTCTAACTTGAACAAAATTAAAAATAAATTAAAAAACGTGTGTCATCCTAAGAATTACAAGTGGGATTGAACCCCAACCCCCCTTCCCATGCCAAGTATTCGAAAATTTGTTTGGTTTTTATCGACATTTTCAGAAGAACGAATAATAAATTAAAAAACGTGTGACATTTTTATCGATATGTAAGAGACTTCAGTTTCTAAGCAAATTGTTTGTAAGAATCTGCAAGTGTATGGAATTGTAACAAGTAATAAAGTAATGAATCAAATATCATTCCCACAGAAATTGTATCTGATTTAGTCTAAATATCGAAATTGAATCAACTCAAAAATTATTTGAGCGACCGATTAAAAAGAAAAAGAAAAATAACTAAACTATATCTAATAAAGTAAACTAACAATGGAAATAAAATCTCTAAGACTACAATTTCACTAAATTAATGTCATTCGAATCGATTTTTACTCTCTAATCGATTAATTTCAACTAATAGAATTGTTAGTCGCATGTACGAAATTACCTACTCTCCTTTTCCAATAAACTAGTATGCACATTCACATTAATCAAAACCCTTATAATCTTATGAGGCCGTCAATCAATATGAATTCATTACCAATAAAATTGGGTATTGGAAATATTGTCCTGTCAATTAATGATAAGATTGCATTTACCAATAAAATTATGACAACTAGTGCGCCACATCAGTAGGTACACAAAAGTTAGAATTTAAATTGGTATCCCTAAGACTATTCTAACATAATTAAATGCACAAAAATAAGTAAAATAACTCTATTTCATAGAGTAATCACAAATCATAGCAAGAATTATTTGTAATATGTTTGGTGACAGGTAAAGAAAGGCAAAGCGGATATTCGTTTGGTAACACCAAACGATCAAACTTTTCGGAAGAGGCGGAGCTTGACGATGGTAAAACAGATTCAGATGTTCCATTGTTTGATTTACATACCATTGCTATAGCCACAGCCAATTTCTCTGCAGAAAACAAACTTGGACAAGGTGGCTTCGGCTCAGTGTACAAGGTAAATCTTCCTCAAATAAAGTATCTCAAATTTTGTAATTATTTCAAATTTTATATTCTTATTTCCAATTAGGAAGAACATGTAAAGATTAGACACCCTAATTCTATATATCCAAGAGCAACAAAAACGCTGGAAAGAATAAAGAATGAACACAAAAATTGATAAAGGTTAGCCTCAATGTGAGATTCCATCCTCTTTCCGCTGTTATACAACTGTAATGAAGAAGAAGTTAACAAAGTAAATCCGCTAATTGCATAAGGCAATAAATCGTTAAGAATAATTAGGCTCTGTACCTTAACAAAACACATAATAACTTCAATGTCAATTAAGTCAATTTTGGACAATGGTTTCAGGGTATGCTATCAAATGGAAAGGAAATTGCAGTGAAGCGACTATCTAGGTGCTCTAGGCAAGGAAGTACAGAGTTCAGGAATGAAGTTCAGCTAGTTGCAAAACTACAACACAAAAACCTAGTGAGGATTTTAGGTTGTTGCTTCCATGAAGAAGAGAGAATGTTAGTCTACGAGTACTTACCAAACAAAAGCTTGGACTCTTTTATTTTTGGTGCGCTTTCTTTCAATTTTACCTTCTGATTTCTGCTTAAAAGTGTGATGGTTTTTTACTAAAAACAAATTTTGAAGCAAAGCAGAAGAATTTTGAAACGCTTCTTAGTCTAGCTAGATACGGAGAAGCCTATGAATGACTAGCTAGCTAGGGAACGCTTAAGAGGCATTACAAGTTTTAATCAAACTAAATTACTGAATTTCATTTGTCATCAGATGAAGAGAAAAGGAAGTCGTTAGATTGGAGAAGACGCTTTGACATAATATGTGGCATTGCTCGAGGGATCTTATATCTTCATCAAGATTCAATACTAAGAATCATCCATAGAGATCTCAAGGCAAGCAATGTTCTACTAGATGCTGCTTTGAACCCAAAGATTTCAGATTTCGGTTTGGCAAGAATATTTGGAGAAGACCAAAGTGAAGCATGCACAAATCGTGTGGTTGGAACATAGTAAGTGCCCCTTAACTAAAAAGAAATCTGTTTTCATTAGCTAACAAGTAACAACATGTGTTAAAATCAATGATTCGTTCTATGTTACTACAGCGGTTATATGGCTCCAGAGTATGCAATGGAAGGATTATTTTCAATAAAGTCGGATGTATATAGCTTTGGAGTTTTGCTTCTAGAGATCATTACTGGTAGAAAGAACATTGCTTATTATGCAGAGAAATCAGAGTCAAATTTGGTTGGACATGTGAGCATACAAGATTAATTATACTTGAGAAAATATGACTATACATGAAAAGATTTGCGTGATTATTTTTCTCCGACATGATGGCATACGTTTGTTTCAGGTCTGGGACTTGTGGAGTGAAGGCAGAGCCTCCGAAATAGTGGATCCTCTTTTGGACGAGTCATTTGTTGATGAAGCTTTGAGATGCATCCAAATTGGTCTGCTGAGCGTGCAAGAACATGCGGATGATCGACCAACCATGTCAGCAGTTGTTTTAATGTTGGGAAATGATTCAGCTCTTCCCTCCCCAAAACAACCTGCATTTATCCTTAATAGATGCTGGGCTGGTACCGGAGACCGGGCATCTAGTGAAGGTGTTTATAACTCTATAAACATTGTGTCATGTACTATGGTGGAAGCTCGCTGAACTTGTAAAATTAGATTGTGCAACGAAATATGACGTTGTAGTTTTCAACTTTGTATTACCTACAGTTTTTATTTAGTCAATGTTTGTAATGTGTGCTTAAGAATATTGCTTGTGGGAACCAAGAAGACTTAATTGTCTGTTCTCTTTTGCCTTAGAGGCGTACTAGAAATTTAGAATCAACTTACTATTATTATTATTATTATTATTTTGTTCGTCCTTAAACTACAAACAACGTGAAAAGGTCATAATCTTTGTTTCGTTAGGAACTAAAAGCAATAATTCCTAACATTCGAGATGAGCAACAAGAAAACGAGAAGAACGAAGCTTCTTGGTGTTTTAGGTGATCATGGCCTTGTAGGTAAAATAGATCATAGTTCTTGGAATGATTGGAGGAATACTGTTCGTGAGATTATACAACTAGAAAGATTGGAATACTGTTCTTGGAGACATTGATATTTAGCGGTGTTAATGAAAATTTTCAGGAGACATTGATATTTAGCGTTTAGAAAGTCAATTGGCATTCATGAGATTATACAACTAGAAAGATACGGGGATCAAAATTTTCAGGAGACTGAGGGGTCCAAACTCTGAAAGCAAGCTCCAATCACTGTCAGACACGATAGCGGTGTTAATGAAAAATTGTAAAAACTGTAGTGTAAACGAAATCGTGTGAGGAAAAAAAAAATCCAATCCAAAATGATAATAAATAGCTCTATACACTGCTTGCGTATTGGATTTTTTTTTTCTCTGAAAGCCAGGAAACAATTTCGCTTTGGTCAAGTACATGCATTTGACTTTATGCTCACAAAGACAATACCGGTTTGCGTTTGATTTCGTTTTCATCAGAGTTGTGGCTGATTTTGTGGAGTTTTAGTTTTTGACATTTTTGGATGACTCGTGACTTCCATCTACCCCCAAGTTCAACCCGTGCCTTACTGAGTCATCATTATTTTGACCCTTTTTTTCTTTCTTTCTTCTTTCTTTTAATACTGTATCACAGATAATATCAATAGTTTCTCTAAAATGAGGTTATGAATGCGTCTATTAACACTCCTGATTTTATTTTTATTTACATATTTTTAAATGATCTCTCATTATTTTACTCGTTAAACATCTCTTAAAATTCAAACATCGGATGATAGATTGTCGAATTTCGTAAGTTTTTTTTTTTTTTTTTTTTCTAATCAAATTATACATGTAGCAACATTTGTTAGGGAGATTAATGTTGTGGTTGCTAAAAGTTTTAATTGATGATAGTAATTAACAATTTTTATGGTTGCAGGTATAGTCTAGAGGTAATACTACACTTGATTTTATCATGCAGTGTATAGTTTGAATCTCCCACATCCAAATTTTGAAAAAAAAAAAAAAATTATTTACCAAGTTTTAACATTCAAATGCGTGCTAATAATTATAGCAAGTGATTTCTACTATATAGAAGCTACAAATAAAAATAATTTTTTATTTATCAAATTTAACATTCAAATGCGTACTAATTATAGCAAGTGATTTCTACTACATAAAAGCTATAAGCCTATAAGTGCGATTAAATAACTACTAAAAAGTAAAATATTTCATAAGAATTAGTCAACCGAGTTGTTCAGGCCAAACAAATTAACAAGCGGACCAGTGGTTGTCATGCATGCGGACGCATACAATAAAGACGATGATAATGTGTTAGTAAACAATGTCTAGGAAAGCATGGGTGCAATAAAGATAGGAAGATAGGATTGACCTCATTTACCCTCTTATTTGTGTTCGTCTAATAAGATCTTGCCCGTCAGTTAACAGCTATGACTTTTTAATTATTAGACAAAATAAAAGTGGACATGAGTAAGAGGATACGGAAGTCGATTCCTTAGAGGCCTGGTTAAATTTCGTTGGAAAATAATGGATCAAATGCAAAAGGGGTCTGAAAATGCAAAAGATAACAATATATAATATGTTCATTAGTTTCAATCTCACAATTAATGTGAAAATGTGGCAATATAAATCTAACTTTTATTACGTTAATAAATATAAATAGCTTGATTTATATGAAAAGTTTCTTAAGTATAATTGAAGAATCTTTTATTCAATGACATCAAACCAATAGCCCATTCTTTTCGTGGGTTTAACTTAAAAAATTGAGTTAGAAAATAAATTTTTATGAGATAAAATACGGTAACAAAAAAAAATTAATTTAAATTTGTATAAAAAAAATGTTGTAGCAAAAGATTTGATATATAATTCGAATTATGAAAAGAACTGGTCCCAAATGGTCTCCAGCAAAAAATAAAATTATAAATAGATTGTCTATATTATGTCAAATGGCAATTACTGCTACATATAGTTATGGTGGCTAGTATCTAAAGCTCTAACTTTTTAATTCGAGTTGAGATGTGATGTTGTGTGAAAGCTTTTCACTGTAGCAAAAAAGTTAGATGTGACTGTTTCTGAGAGCTTTTTACTGTAGCAAAACTTGAATTCTAAACTTGAATCAGCGAAATGAACGGAGCCTTAGTAACTAAACTTAGTGCTCCTCTGATGTTTATATATCAATGTAAGCAACATCGCGTGGCACTTCAATAGACCGCATACAACTGTTCATGACCAGAAAAACCATGAAATCTCTTATGCATGTCGCTTGTCGTTGACACAATAATAATATTATCGCTCATCTTCCTTCACCCACCCTTATGCATGTCGCTTGTCGTTGACACAAAACCACCCCATCAAAGACGTACAGTGACGTTTTGATCTCTGGCCAAAAGAGCTTTGCGCTCGGCTTTTTCAGCCCTGGCAAGTCCCGCTACCGCTACGTCAGAATCTGGTACTACAAAATCCCCGAGAAAACCGTGGTGTGGGTGGCAAACAGAGACAATCCCATCAACGACACCTCTGGAGTCTACGAGTATTTTAGGTTGTTACTTCCATGAAGAAGAGAGAATGTTGGTCTACGAGTATTTACCAAATAAAAGCTTGGACTGTTTCAGTTTTGGTATGCTTTCTTTCAATTTTTCTTTTTGATTGCTCTTATTAAAAGTGGAATGAGTTGCATTCTTAAAATAAATTTGGAAGCAAATTAGAAGAATTTTATAACGCTTCTTACTCTAACTGAATATAGATAAGCCTATGCATAGCAAGCTCAAGAAGCTTAGCGAACGTTACAAGTTTAAGCATATTCAATTACTTTAATTTGTTATCAGATGAAGAGAAAAGGAAATTGTTAGATTGGAGAAGACGCTTTAACATAATTTGTGGCATTGCTCAAGGAATTTTATATCCTCATCAAGATTCAATACTAAGAATCATCCATAGAGATCTAAAGGCAAGCAATGTTCTTCTAGATGCTACTATGAACTCAAAAATTTCAGATTTCGCGTTGGCAAAAATATTTAGAGGAGACCAAAGTGAAGCATGCACAGATCGCGTGATTGGAACATAGTAAGTGCCCCTTGACTAAAAAGAAATCTATTTTCATTGGCCAACACGTGTTAAATCCGTGGTTCATTCTATGCTACTGCAGTGATTATATAGCGCCAGAGTACGTAATGGAAAGATTGTTTTCAATAAAGTCGGATGTATATAGCTTCAGAATTTTGCTGCTAGAGATCATTTTTGGCAGAAAAAATACTTGTTACTATGAAGAGAATTCTGAGTCAAATTTGGTTGGACATGTGAGCATAAAAGTTTAATTTTACTTGAGAAAATATAAAAATACTACATGCACAAAAAGATTTACATGATTATTTTTCTCCGACATGATGACATGCGTTTTGTTTCAGGTTTGGGACCTGTGGAGAGAAGGCAGAGCCTCCGAAGTAATGGATCCATTTTTGGACGAGGCATTTGTTGATGAAGCTTTGAGATGCATCCAAATTGGTCTGCTAAGCGTGCAAGAACACGCGAATGATCGACTAACCATGTCGGCAGTTGTTCTGATGTTGGGAAATGATTCAGCTCTTCTGTGACGGGGTAGAGGTCTGTGACGTGGAGGCTCGATTAGGGGTTAAACGTGATTTGGAATAAAATATTCAGAAAATTCCCAAATGAGCCCCACATTTCACTGAAAATAAATTACTGACTACAAGAGGTTTATACGTAAGCCTCTGACACCAGTCAGGGCTTCACCCACAGGATATGCAGTATTGTACATACATGACACGTTACAGACATCAACCATAGTATAGAAATTCAAATATCAGAGTTTACAGAATTTACAAATTCTTACATTCGTCCACAGGGAGGATGATCACGATCCTCACCAAATCCGGTTGTAGCAACTCACTCAGTTACTCCGCACTGTTTCTAGAATCGCCTGGGAGGGGTTTAACATTTATAAAATAATAAAACGTGAGCGAAAGGCCCATTCATTCTAGGTCCCCAAATGAAGCTAATTTGGGTTATCCTCGAAAACCGAGGTCAAAACAAACCTCGTGTACATCAGTCAACCGGTGACAGAGCAGTGCAATCGACCGGTGGTGTGCACTTCAGTCAACCACACAAGTCGACCTATTGTAATGAAATCCGGTCGACCGGATAGGTCGACCGGTGGAATCAGCAAGGCGAGGAAAACTAGCCAAAATCAGTCAGAAAACCTGCAATTTCAATTCCAATTCGAAATATCTCAAGGGCAAACCACTAGATTTTGGCTTTCCTGCCTTGCTTATTGGATGTTTTTTTTTTTTAATATCTCAAGGGCAAACAAAATCGCATCAGGAAAAAAAAATCCAAAATGATATTAAATAGCACTATTTAATATGCTTTCCTGCCTTGCTTATTGGCTGTGTTTTTTTTTTTTTTTTTTTTTTTTTGTGAATAACACAAGTGTTAAAATTGGGAATGAGCCAGGAAGAATGCATTTGACTTTATGCTGACAAGTGACAAAGACTATAGTGGTAAGTTTCTCTTTCGCGTTCGATTTGGTTTTCATCCAGAGTTGTGGCTGATTTTGTGGAAGTCAATATTTAATCTATTTTCATTTGGAATTTAAATTAATTGCTTACTATATTTTTATG